CGTGTGCCTTATCTTCTAACTCCACGAGAGGAGCCGCTACAGAACACACTGTGAGCTCCAAACAGCTTCCAACTGCTACGGACAAATTCAAAACAGGAACAACAGAAGCTCTAAGCAGAGCACAGACAACTCACAACAGCTTTTAAACCCTTTTTTGGGGGAAACAGCTGTCTCCTTTGAAAGCTATTTAAATTATGGGTACACGAGGCTGCTGTGCTTACATTAACTTGCAAAAGCCCATCACTATAAAAGATTAGTTCTTGTCTGGGTAAAATGAAGGATCCAAATTTCATTGTAAAAGGATTACTTTATAAAAGTTAAATACAAAGTATCAGATCTGTTCTGAATACATTGTATTTATTCTTAGGCAGTTATTACTGAAGAGGTTTTGTGTGTGTACGTAATAAATGTATGTATAAAAGAAGGACTTCCTGGCCTTTGTTGAAAGTTGCAGAGTATTGGCGGGAAAATCATGATCCCTACCCTGGTCACTTCGGGGGTGAGTAGACCACTCACTTTTGGGGCCCACTTAAGAAAAACTTCAGTTCATCAGCCACCATGTTACTCACCAGCCCTGTCACAATCTGGTGTGTATCCTGGGCTTGAGGAGAGAGAGGAGGTGGCCACCACGTCATTAGGACTAGTGGGAAGGATAAGTTAGTAATATGCCATAGGCCTGTATTCCCCTCTAGCAGGTATTTCTGTAGTATCCTATGACTTCATGGCAGTCTAGAATAATTAGCATACTAAAAGAACTGAACTGAGTCTCTCAATATATTGTGACATCAAATATTGTGATAAACACCCTAATGATTTTTCTTAACATTTTATTATGAGATGTTCAAACATACAGCAAAGATGAAAGAATTTTACAAGATTCTACTGTCAACACTTTACTAAGCTTGTTTTATCAGTTATCCAATATTCTACCCATCCATCAATCCATCTTAATTTTTGATGTATTTTGATGAATTGCAGATATCTGTACCCATCCTTTTAAAACTCCTCAGCAATACATATCATTAACTAAAGTTCAATATTTTTCTGGTGTAAAATTTCCATACAGTGAAGTGCACAAATATTAACAGTATGTTTGCTAAATAAGTTTAGGCCAATGTATACACCTGTGTAACCCAAACCCCTATCAAGATACAGATCACTACCGTTACCCCAGATGCAGAAAGTTCCTTCACGCCCCTTCCCAGAGTTAACCACTGGTTTTTTTCCCCAACAGATTTGCCTCTTTTAGAACTTTACATAAATGGAATCAGACATTATGTATTCTCCGTGATGATTTTTAAAAGACAAATTCCTAAAAAATTCAGTGTCTCTGAAACAGGGAGAATAATAGTGATAAAGATAACACCTGGGATCAGAGTATGATTCATTCATTGAATAGGTATTATGAGAAACTCTAGTCCGTGGATACAAAGATCAGAAAGACAGCCCCTGCCCTCAAGGCATTCACACTGTCTTGAGGGATATAGCACAAACATCTTGGCCAGAGGGCTGAGGTTGAGACAGTCATCACGTGCCACAGGAGACCTAATCCAGCCTGGGAGCCAGTAGGGAATCAAGGGAAATTTAAGGTTTTACCTAGGAACTTGCCACAGGCAGCCAGCTCTGTATAGTCCACAAGTCTAGAATCTTGTAACTTGAAATGATCTGTCCTTAAGAGGGCAGATTTACAGTACTGAGCAGATGTAAGGCAAATCTGCTAAACAAAATAAACTATAAAAGGTACAAATTGAAATTAGGGATGTTTTCTTCTCTAGTTTGAGTTGATATACATTCAAATGTATTTAGCATTGCTTCCAAACATAAAAACACCATGCTTTTCTGTTCCTGGACCACAAGTGGCAGCAGTTTTGAAGGGCTCCAAACAGCAACAGCAAAGCTTTAAATCTCCTTGGACTTTGCCTTAGCTTTCTCAAGGCTTATCGCACCCATTATATCTCCAAGTTTAGGCCCTCACCTCCTAACTGCTTTTCACTTGTTACCTTCATATTTTACACACAAATTACAAATGAAAAGTACCTGGATCCCTTACATACCCACTTTTCCCTATTACCTGTCTTGAAAACTCTATGGCTCTTTTTCAGTGGGGAGTGAGAAGTGGGGAGCCCAAGAAAACCTCGAAATTTGTTTAATCACTCTTTTTCAGCAAAGTATGAGAGGGGCAAGGAAAGTTTGGAGGCTTCCTTTTTACCAACGGGAAAGGAGAAAGCTATATACCATGTGCCTCGTATTACTATAGGTATGATGACCCTTGAAAGAAATTAGTTTCTTTTCCCTATTATCATCTGAAACAAAAAGGTATATAGCATCTCAATGTAACTAAATGCATTCCCCCTTTTTGGTGTACTCTGTAAGGAGCAAGCCACTGCTGACTAATGACTGGTTCCTGAACTGAATGATGATGGTGAAAGGTAAAGCAACTACTGAGGTGGTCTGCTCTAAACAAAACAAGCCACTGCCTTCATGGCACTTCTACAGTAACAAAGTAGCAATGACACTAATTATTTTAAGGAATACTTTCTTCTTGTCCTTCTTGGTCAGCTTCACTCAGCTGAGATCCACAATTCACAAACAGTGCAAGAATAAGAAAAATGGAGCCTGTATATTGGAGTCCTGACTAGTACAGAGACTTGTCTCAGATTGGCTGGATGTTTCTGAGTAAAGGATAGGTGAATGTATAACTGAATCACTTTGCTGTACACCTGAAACTAACACAACATTGTAAATCAACTCTACTCCCATATAAAATAAAAATTAAAAAAAAAGATAGCGAAGTGTTACACATGAAGAAGGAGAGCAAAGAAGAGCCTCATCATTTAGCTCATGTATGTTATGGGCTGAATGCTTGTGTCCCCCACGACCCCAAGCTTGCAGGTTGCAGCCCTGACCCGCAGTGTGATGGTATCTGGAGGTGATTAGGTTTAGATGAGGTCAAGAGGTTCTCTCTCTGCCATGTGAAGACACAGCCAAGAAGAGGTCTCTCACAAGTAACCAAATCTGCCAGCACCTTGATCTTGGACTTCCCAGTGTCTGGAACCGAGAAATGTCTTGTTGTTTAAGCCTAAATATTTAGTCTATGGTATTTCATTATGGCAGCACAAGCAGTGTTAAAATTTGTTTCAGGGGCTTCCCTGGTGGCGCAGTGGTTGGGAGTCCGCCTGCCGATGCAGGGGACATGGGTTCGTGCCCCGGTCCAAGAAGATCCCACATGCCGCGGAGCGGCTGGGCCCGTGAGCCATGGCCGCTGAGCCTGCGCGTCCGGAGCCTGTGCTCCGCAACGGGAGAGGCCGCGTACCCCAAAAAAAAAAAAAAAAAGAAAATTTGTTTCTGAAACAACTTCCATGACCCATCAAGGAACTAAAGTCAGACAGGATTTTTTTTTTTTTTTTTTTTTGCGGTACGCGGGCCACTCACCACTGTGGCCTCTCCCGTTGCGGAGCACAGGCTCCGGACGCGCAGGCTCAGCCAGCCATGGCTCACGGGCCCAGCCGCTCCGCGGCATGTGAGATCTTCCCGGACTGGGCACGAACCCATGTCCCCTGCATCGGCAGGCGGACTCCCAACCACTGCGCCACCAGGGAAGCCCCCTTCACTCTTTTGATTCTTAAAGAAACATTTGTCAGACATCTACAAGGTGTCAGGCACTGTGCCAGGAACCTGAACTGTGGAAACTAGAGCAGAGTCCCTCCCTTATGGAGCTGACATTCAAAAGGGCCAAAGGCATCAAATAATGACAATATAATTAAAACAGGTAAATGCTATGAAAACAGCACAGGAATGTGGCAGCACAAGAATATGTAAGAGGGGAACCTGCCTTGGTCCTTAAAGTGAGGGCTGGCTTCCCCGAGGGAGTGACGTTTGAGCTGAGATCTGAAGGCCTCAGTAAGAGTTACTGCGTGAACCAGGGGAGAGAGCAGGGTTCAGTGCAGTGGGACTCCACATGGGTAAGGCTGGGAGGCTAGAGAGCACAGAAGTCCCCATGGCAGTGGTTGGGCAGGGCAGTTTTAGCTGGAGATGACAACAAGGGAGACAGGGCCTGGATCATTTCATCTAGAAAAATGATAGGAATATGAAGAATGGATTGAAGGCAGATGAGAATTTTTATAAATCCTATTTTATCCTCAATTTCTACTTCAAAATCACATACTCATCTGGAGAAAAAGTTCCCTACTGGAAACTAGATGCTGAAGGGATTAAGCTGGGACCAGCCTTTGGAGACTGGGAGGCACTGCAGCTACTGCAGACCTCCCTCCGGCCCCTCCCCGTCACACCAAGAGAAATGCTCTCTACTCCCCTCACTCCGCCAGTGGGTTACAATGACATTTCATCAGATGATGTGTCAAACCCGTTTCATGAATTCTAGAGTTCAGGATATTCACTTTTATCCTGAATTTCTAAAAAAATTTCTAAAACAGGAGTGTTTTAGAAGCATTACATGGCAACTGCTCCCTTACTTGGTGGACCTCATCAGGCAACCTCAACTATCCCTAGAGTCAGGAAGCACCTTATAAATGTAATGTGTAAACCAAGAGTGTAGCTAATATGATTTCAGTCTCCTAACAGAAACAAGCAGTATGAAATCAAAAGCAGATATAAAAAACTCAAAAAGCACAAATGTCCAGATCATTCAGCTTGGGGGTAAGCATGACCTGAAGGTACATAATTACAACAGAAAGTACTGATATACTGAATTCACCAAAACAGTTTATACTCAGTAGGGAAAAGTTTATTTCATTTGAGAACCTTTAAAAAACAAAATGCTTTGTAGTTAACCTATCTAGAAAATTAACTTATCTGGAACTCCTCTTGACCAAACAAAATGGATAATTGAAGAACTGTTCTACCTACAAAGTTATCAGGTGAAGTCACTAATAGTCAAAGTAGTGTGCTGAATGTTTTACCAACAAAAAGACTAATAGACTAATCTACCACAAAAAGGACAGTGCTACTAACCCTAACCCAGCCACAAGACACCAGAAAAATGGACTTAAAAAAAAATTTATTCCCATCAGAAATACCAAAAGAAACACGTTAACTCTGAAACATTTAACAGATTTCATTTAAACTCATATAGTCACAAAACTCAAAATATCAAACAAAAACAACCACTTTTAATAATGAAACTTTAAAAAAGGAAACATGTAGACTCCTCCACAATTTAGGAGCCATTTAGGCAAGCAAATATTCACTATTAGGCAAAAAGACAGCATTAAAAACGAAAAATCCTCAGAGTTAAGGAGAATGCCTATTCAAGTCTTTGATACACATTTATAAGCACGTGAGAAAACAGACTATTTTAAAAGAAACCAAGGCTGAGTGCTTACCCTTTCTTTAAATGTGATCTCCCACCTCGCTTCCATCTTGACTGCATGCCCCTCACACGACAGTACTTCATCTACACTGAACAGTGTTGGTCAACATGATCGGCTTACCGTGAAGCCCTCCAGTACCACCCGTTATCCTCTTATTAAGGTTTGTACAGCCCTGTAACTGAGTATCACCACTGTAATCAAGCCAAGGAATTGCAGGTCTCCAAAGATGACTATATATGCACAATTCTGTCTCATTGCACAGTTCGTAATATATAGCAGGTGATTATATAACCAACCATAAAGTAAGATGAATATTGACTATTGAGACTAAAGCATCAACTTTGTCTCCAACCACAAATGAAACAAAGACACATACATTTGCCACCATACAGAGGTTGAGTTTACTCTGTAGTACAGTCCTGAGGGCTCATACCACTCTAAGGGTGTTACGTATAGAATCCAGAACATATTTCTGGTGGCATCAGAATGAAGTATAGGAGGCAAGACCAGGAGTGCCCTGCGCTCATGAGCTGTCTGTGCCACAGAAAGGCCACTTTTAAAGCTGTGCAGATAAAAGTTATTCACTCATGTTTGCTTTTTCCAAATTATTACCATACTAGTTCACACTGAAGGCAAAAACAATAGTTAGAATCTCTTCCTTACTAATAACACATTTTGACTTCTTTTAAATTTCAGACAAAGCTGTTGGCTACCACAAATTCTGCTGAGTTTTTTGTCAAATTTAAGAAAATATAGGACAACATAAAACCAACCCTGGTAACGTATTTGCAGTTTGGTCTTCAAAAGCTGTAAAAAGTGACAAAGAAATCAAAAAATATAATGAGTTAAAACCATTAAAAAAATATTTGTTTTTAAATGCCACATGTTTGAGACAGCAGAAGAGGAAGCACCCTCCTTCAAATTCTCACTTCACTTGTATTTCACAAAAGTGCTTTAGAATTTAGATTTCTATCACCTACGTGGAGTGTAGAGGCAAAAGGAAGCCCCGTGGAACTGAAGGCCAGTGGAGTCTACTCCCAGGGTCAGGGTGTGACCCCAGGCTAACGCACCGGCCACATGCTGAGCACTCATATATGCCCAGGAGTGCTGGACACACATACACAGGAGCGAGGGGATCAGACACCAGTGCCTTTGCCACTCATTCCTGAAACTCAACCCACTTGAAATCCTGACTCTATTCCATAGGCCAAAGGATGCTACTCTCATTTATTTGGTGTCAAATCCTTGTTTTCTCAAATCCTTACACCTGCACCTTGGTTTCTAAAATTAATGGCCATTTCCAGCACAACGCTGTCAGACAGAGCCTTTGTAAAGCTAGTGAGCTTCACTACTGCCTGGCAAACGCGTGACAATGCCTCCGAATGCTTCACAGCTGGAAGGAAGATGTTCCTGTCACTTGACCAGCCACCCTGCATTGAGAGGTAAACATCGTTTTTGGACTATCTGTCCAGAAACTGAGTAAACTACCAATTGAGACCCTGACTTTATTTTGGTCAGCATGTGCACAGAGTAACATGCAATTACCCAGAACGATGAAAGACTGGTAATAAAACCCATGTGCTCTGCTCCGTGTCAGATGCTGGAAGGTAATCTTAACGACATAATACTTACAGATGTGGATTTTTAAAAGATCGATAAACCACTTTTCTAGGATGTCTCGTATGTTTTATTAGTTATTCAATTGGTGTATGAGTCACTTTGCCTTATTTATCTGGGAAAAAGTACTGAGTTTTTTTCCCCTTCCCCAGAACACTTAGAAACCAGAAAAAAAATCTGAGGTCCTATTAATAGACTTCCAAAATAAAATTTTATGGAAGCATTTTGTTGTTTTTTTAAAGGGAGTTTCAAGAGAACAGGATACTTGACTATGACAAACTACTACTCAAAGGAAAAACTACCAAAACTCCAAAGCTCTTCACTAAATTGGCAACAACAATTCAAAGAAGCTGAGCTAAACAGAATTGGATCTGTAATGCAATTACAGGTTTCCCCCGCATTCCTGCGGAACTTTTTGTAAGCCGAAATGGCATAGAATGAGGAAGCAATCACCTTTTCTTGTAAAAGCAAAAATCATCTCCGTATTTCTTTTGGTTAGTGAAAACAGGTACTAATGTAGGTCTTTTGTAAAAGCGAAGTGGCATAAAGGAAACTCTGGAGAAGTGGGGGATACCTGTAATATGAACCTTCTTAATGGGATGAAACACCTTTAACAAAATTTAAGCCTCCACGTTTTCTGGCAACGAAATAGTGAAATTAATATAAAAATATTTTGGGAAGCTTTAAGGTCATATTGAGAAATACAGAGAAAACTTTCTACCCTAGAAAGCAAAATGGGAGATGTCATTAGTTGCTTTAGTCTACCACGTCGAAAGAGAAATAATTTGGATAATGACCATCCCAACAGGTGCTTAGTTTCAAAACGAATACAAACAATTTATCATGAAAAACCTACACATAATAAGCTGTTTTTCTTCTCTCTTCTGCTCCTTTTTCCTACCATGTATATGTTTTAAGTTAACAAAAACTACCCTTTGTAACTCCTCCTAAAAGCAGAGAAGAAATGGAGTAATAGAAGTAAGCCTGAGAAATCATGGGACCCTAAGAGCCTTTCCTCTGGCTGGTCATGGCCACTTATGCTTCAATACAGAAGATTTGTGGAAAAAAGTATCATATATCTTGGCTGTTAGTTTCCTTGTCAAAAGCCATCAGATAGACAGCTATTAACCAGGCAATTAGCCTAAAGTTCTCAGATAATGATTAAAAAAAGTACTAACACTGTCCCCCCCAAAATCCCCCCCAAACCTTAAATTTTCCTACTGAAACCTTTTATTCTGAATTTGTTGGTGCTTAAGAAAAACAGCTTTGCCCGTAATTCACTGTGCCCTGGACTTAGGACACCAACTTGTATTTGGCCAATTAGAAACAAGGCCAAACTGCATTCTTCTTAGGTCTATTCAGTTGATTAATGGCACTTAACTGATTTCTTTCATATAATCTTTAACAAGAACTCATAAGTCGCATTAATTATGCCCCAAGAGATGAGGGATCGATGGTAATTCAGATGGGCACCTCTGAAAAGATTTGTCAGTTTCCTGTCCCGTTCTAGCCAGATTTTTTGGAAAACCTTAGGGAAAGACTGAAATTCCCCACCAATCTGAGATTGCATGCGAGTTTTTACAACATTAACTGGAAAAAACAAGATCCCCAACATGGCACCCAACAGGCCCCCGCAGATAAAATCATTGACCAAATGAGCACCGTGGGTTGTTGCTGTAGGCAGGTACTCCTTGATGGGACCTCGAAGGCTAAAAAAAAGGACATTGCTGAATCCGTTACGGAAAAGAACAGGCACCAAGCCTCGATAATACTCTCTAATTCCATGGCATTTCAGTGCTTTGAAAGCCTGATAAGTGTTTGTAAATTTGTCATGATGCTTGTGGTCTTGAAGCAATGTTTGAACTCTTTCCAATGGAGTGAAAATTGCTTCTGTCGTTCCTGCAAGTACTGCGGCCAGGCTACAGGTTGCAAACTCTGGGGTACTGACATGCTTACGGAGAAGGCAAGATAAATCCTCATACAGACCAAACATAAGTGCCAGTGTAGTCGTCTTCTGCATTAAAGGGGGAAGGATTCCGCGATACAAATTTCGAAACCCATCCCTCCTCAATTGAAGTACTGCATCCCGGGTTTTGATTCCATACAGCTGTTGCCGAAAGAGGACCTTCTGAATGGGAAATGTGATGGCTATATTGTTGAAAGCCGCACAGCAGCCACACAAGTAATGCTTCATTTCACTAACATTTGCAATATGAGGTGCTATATCTTGCTTTGAAGATGTTAGGATTGGTGGCCTCTTTTCATGAGCTTCTGAATCCATCGTGTTGCTTAAGATCTTCTTCGGGAAGGATTTTTTTAACCTACAAATAATAAAATGATAATAGGTAAACCTTTATATACAGTGCTAAACATATGAAAATTTCCCCTAATCCTTCCTCCAATTTCTGGACTCTATTACATTTTTCCCTTTTAAACTAGATCACTGTTTCTTCAAGTATTTTTGGAGGGCCCTGAGGCCCTTTCAGTAGTCCAGGAGGTCCTCCCCTTTCCAACTACATATCCATGTGAGGCTGGATTTTCTGCATATACTTCAACTAAAACAATTTATCACAACAGAACAAATGCAGAGGTAGATATGAGACTCCACCAACCTTTTAAGTCAGACATTAAACAGACTTACAAAACTGTAAAACATACTTATTAATTTTTTAGGGGGGAAATAATTATTTTTCATGAAAATGTGTTGATTATATTAACATGTAATGGGTTTATCATTTTGTTAAAGTGAATTAATAAATATTTTAAAATTTTGTTTTTATTTCTAAGACCATGAATATTAATCCATACAAATAAAGGCTCTTTGGGGTCCACAAAAATTTTTTAAGTGTAAAGCGGTCCTGAGACCCAAAAATTTGAGAACCACTGGACTAGTTCATATGTAATGCCTACACTACATAATGGTACATGCTATTATCCTTCTGAAACAAAGTCCTCTCATGAGAAAAAGAGCAAGACATACATTCAGTCATTCTGTTCACTAACACTTACTTAGTATCTACTGTAAACTAGGCCCTCTGCTAAGTGCTAGAGAGTCAAAGACAAGGAACTTGCAATCTAACAGAAGGCTCTGCCAAGGTCTACAATCACTCCACAGTGTAAGTCCTTCCATGATAAATATATACTATGGGAACACAGGTAAGGGACAGTGAGCACACACTCTGTGAGGTGGAGGCTGGGAGAACAGGCTCAAGGAAGGCCTGCAGGTATATACTAAGCACAATTTTCACGTATTTAATTCTCAAAACAACTCCATAAAGTAAACATTATTTTCCCAGTTTTACAAATGGAAAAACCAATACTCATCTTCATCCAAGGTAGTTAGTAACTGGTGGAGCTGGCATCTTGAAATGAAGTCTGCCTCCAGAGTTCATGTTCCTGCTGTCATACCACAGATGGCAATGACTTTGGGAGGATGCCCTGGGACAAAGAGTGGCCGTACCAGACCATGCTGAAAAAGATTTGAAGCCTAAATACACAGGCTTAGCCCACTTAGTGGAATGAAGGCAAGGTCCTACCCCTAGAATACATCTGCTTTTTAAAATGGCAAGATCATTCCTTGCCAGTCATCTATAACCTGATTAAAAACAAGCAAAGGACTTAACAGACACTTCTCCAAAGAAGATGTACAAATGGCCAACGGACATATGAAAAGATGCTCAACATCACTTATTATCAGAGAAATGCAAATGAAAACCTCATACCCATTAGGACAGCTATTATTAAAAAAAAAAAAAAGAAGAAAATAACAAGTGTTAGTGGGGATGTAAAATGATGCAACCACTATGGAAAAACAGTCTGGCAGTTCTTCAAAAAATTAAAAATAGAACTACCATACGATACCATCACCAATCCCACTTCTGGGTATATATCCAAAAGAATTTACTGTAGGGTCTCCAAGAGATATCTGCACATCCAAGTTCACAGCAGAACTATTCACAAATAGCCAAGAGGTGAAAGCACCCCAAGTGTCCACTGATGAACAAATGGATAAACAAAACATGGTATGTACGTACAACAGAATATTATGTGGCCTTAAAAAGGAAGGAAATCCTGTCACATGCTACAACATGGATGAACCTTGAGGACAAGTGAAATAAGCCAGTCATAAAATGGCAAATAGAGTGTAATTTCACTTATATGAGGTACCTAAAGTAGTCAAATTCATAGAGATGAATAGCGGTTATTATCAGGGGTTGGGGGAGGTGGGAACAGAGTTATTGTTTAATGGGTATAGTTTCAGTTCTGCAAGATGAAAAATTTCCGGAGATCTGTTTTATAACAATGTAAATATACTTAATGTTACTGAACTTACACTTAAAATTGGTTAAGATGGTAAATCTTATGATTTTTAATTTTTTTTTTAAATTTATTAATTTTTTTTTTGGCTGTGCTGGGTCTTCATTGCTGCACACGGACTTCTCCTAGTTGCAGCGAGCGGGGGCTACTCTTTGTTGTGGTGCGCGGGCTTCTCATTGCGGTGGTTTCTTTTGTCGCGGAGCACAGGCTCTAGGGCACGCGGGCTTCAGTAGTTGCGGCGCGTGGGATCAGTAGTTGTGCCTTGCGGGCTGTAGGGCGCAGTCTCAGTAGTTGTGGTGCACGGGCTTAGTTGCTCCATGGCATGTGGGATCTTCCCAGCCCAGGGCTCGAACCTGTGTCCCCTGCATTGGCAGGTGGACTCCCAACCACTGCACCACCAGGAAAGTCCCTGATTTTTTTTTTTAACCACAGTTTCAATTATAAATAAATAAGAACAAAATAAGTCAGGTAAACCATCTAGCTCTTTGACTTATGACAAAAACAAACAAAAAACAAGTTCCTTTTTTTCCCCCTCCCCATACACACACGCTGCTGTAAACCGCTAAGCATCAGGACAAAAGGTGTTAAAGAGAAATGTCATCATGTGAAGGTAGAGCAGAGTGAGGCACATAATCAGAAAGCATCAGTTCTTGAGGAGCTTATATGTGCAGGAGCCACAGACATGTAACATAAAATATGGAACACACATACGACTCTAATTTTCCTTCTAGAAATATAGCCTAGGGAAATAATTATTAACAAGAGAGGTACATAAAGACTCAATTATAGGACAATTACAACGCTCTTAACAGAAATAGAGTAAAAATTAAATGCGCAACAGTAAGGGACACACTGCATACATGAAGATGTAGCCACCTGATGGGATGTCATATAGGTACTAAAAATAAAGGAGTATTTATATTTAAGGTTCAGTATATTAATTTTGAATTTTTAATGGTATTAATGAAGTTTCAGATAGCAGTGAGTCCTTTTTATGATCAATAAAGTGTTACAGAAGAAAAAATAAAGGAGAATATTTTTATTGACATGGCACAATCCTGTTTTTATCAATATACATATAGAAAAGCCAAAATAAGTAGTTTACATTTTCTAATTTCATAATAATGCTGTATTTTCCTTTTCTATATTTTTCAAGTTGAATTTGTCTCAATTTACTGTCTTCAAAAGTTGGAGACTGACAAAACTAAGGTCTAATCAGGACAAGGCAAACAGTGACAGAAAGGATGTGACAATGCTCCCAAGTGAACAAGGCAAATTGCTGTACCTCTGAGGCTGCTTCCAGTTACAATGGGCCAAGGCCACCCACCCTGCACTGGGGCAGAAGTCAGCTGAAGAGTACAGTGCACCGGGTCCCACTGCTGTTCTGGGGACACAGTGAGCACTGTACTGTTTTTTGTATTTGCTTCATTCAGACTTACAGTATAACATTATCAAGAAGATTTTCATTTACTTTTGTTGGGAATTTCTTCTTCTTTGCCTGCTTTTACACTGGCCTCCTCAGTATACTAAGAGATTTTAATTCAACCAACTTATTCAACTCCTGTAATGTTCAGAGATTAGAGATAAAAGGACGCTGGCCTCGGGAGATACGACATGCAAACAACTGGACCACAGTGTGGTAAATGCAACCACAGAAATACACAGAAGGTATAAAGGCCCCACAGAGGAAGGGGTCATTAATTAGCTGTCTGGAGGGAAAGACAGGGGGGTCTGTGACCTCTGGGCAGGACTCTGAAAGGTGAATAGGACTCTGGATGTACCTAAGGGTGGGGCACATTTTAGCCAAAGCAGCACAGGCTAAGGTGTAGGCCCCGTGTCAAAGGAGCAGCAGCATCACATTCCTGAGGAGGGTGTCTGGCTGGAGCTTAATGTGGGTGCGAGATGGATGGGCGGCAGACAATGATGGAAAAGCAGGCTAGGACCTGCATCACCAGAGACCCTCAGGATGATTCCAAGACCCTGTTGCTACTATGTACTATTTTTTTCCTTTCTCATGGGAAGCTAATAGAAACAAATTATTTTCCTTAGGCATGTTACACCTAGATCTGTGTGCCCTTTTCCCAGAAGACAGACTATATTAAGAAGAAAATGTAACATCTGTACACTCTAGCCCAATGCTGCTTTGTAGTTGGAGCTGGCTTGCTATCACATTTCTATTAGAAAAGATAAACATGCCCTCAGTTGAGAAGAATTATGCCTGGAAACCACTGCAGGCCTGAAATCTGCCATAAGGAAGGTAATAAAAGGGGTCAGGAATCTTCTCCCCACTGTCACCTGGTCACACCTGTAGAACTAGACAGGACCAGAGCCCCAACCTTTCACTGTCCACCCCCAACACCAGGGCAGCCACACTACCCCTGGGCACCAAAACTGTGTTCATTTGAATTAACCTCAACTTTGGCAGAGGCTGGAGGAGTGGGACTTGTCTCTAAATGCTGCTTAGCACTATCATGATGGGGAATAAAGGGACAGTAAAAAACTTTCCCCTGACATTCTAAAAATTTGTTCCACTGCAATTTAAATAATCAAAGGAAGGCCCGGCTCAGAGAGAGGAATTATTTCTAACTTTGGCAGGTATTAAAGCAGTTAGATTATGAAGTCACCAAAATGCTTCACCAAGAGGCCAGAATCCCTGGAGCTGGGCCGCTCGTAGATCCAATAAAACAACAAATGAATCATTTAAACAGAAATTCACAAAATAAATGTCTATTACTTTAGAAAAAGTTACACATTAAATTTACACATTAAAAATACATTTAATAGAGCAGGACTTCCCTGGTGGCGTAGTGATTAAGAATCTGCCTGCCATTCCTTGGTGGCGCAGTGGTTAAGAATCCACCTGCCAATGCAGGAGACACGGGTTTGAGCCCTGGTCCGGGAAGATCCCACATGCTGCGAAGCAACTAAGCATGTGTGCCACAACTACTGAGCCCGCGAGCCACAACTACTGAGCCCGTGTGCCTCAACTACTGAAGCCCACGCGCCTAGAGCCCGTGCTCCCAACGAGAAGCCACCACAATGAGAAGCCTGTGCACCACATCGAAGAGTAGCCCCCCGCTCGCAGCAATGACAAAAGCCCTCATGCAGCAACGAAGACCCAATGCAGCCAAAAATAAAATAAAATAAATAAATTCATATTAAAAAAAAAAAAAAAGAATCTGCCTGCCAATGCAGGGGACACAGGTTTGAGCCCTGGTCCAGGAAGATCCCACATGCCACAGAGCAACTAAGCCCGCGCACCTAGAGCCCATGCTCTGCAACAAGAGAAGCCACCGCAATGAGAAGCCCACAAACCGCAACGAAGAGTAGCCCCCGCTCACTGCAACTAGAGAAAGCCCATGCGCAGCAGCAAAGACCCAACGCAGCCAAAAATAATTTAAAATAAAGAAAATGAAATAATGCTATTTGCAGCAATGTGGATGACCCTAGAGATGATCATACTAAGTGAAGCAAGTCAGAAAGAGAAAGATAAATACCATTTGATATCACTTATACGTGGAATCTAAAATATGATACAAATGAACTTGAACTTATCTACCAAATAGAAACAGACACAGACATAGAGAACAGACTTATGGTTGTCAAGGGGAAGCGGGTTGGGAGAGGGATGGAGTGGGTGTTTAGGATTAGCAGATGCAAATTATTATATAGAGAATGGATAAACAACAAGGTCCTACTCTATGGCACAGGGAACTATATTCAATATCCTGTGATAAACCATAATGAAAAAGAATGCATGTATGTATAACTGAATCACTATGCTGTACAGCAGAAATTAACACAACACTGTAAATCAACCATGCTTCAATAAAATAAACTAAAAAAAGACATTTAAAAAAGATGTATATTTTTTTAAGAGAAAAATAAAATTGTAAATTAATTAAATACACATACATCCTCTCCTCCAGGCTCACTGTCCCAACCCAGGTCCTCTTCACCTCCTGCCTGACTACTGCCAAAGGCTCCTTACTACTAAGTCCGACTCTAGTCACACACTCCATCCCATCCCCACCAACCTAACTATCATTTAAAAAATACACAAAAACGGCTTCCCTGGTGGCACAGTGGTTGAGAGTCCACCTGCCGATGCAGGGGACACGGGTTCGTGCCCCAGTCTGGGAAGATCCCACATGCTGTGGAACGGCTAGGCCCGTGAGCCATGGCCGCTGAGCCTGCGCGTCCGGAGCCTGTGCTCCACAACGGAAGAGGCCACAACAGTGAGAGGCCCACGTACAGGAAAAAAAAAAAAAACACACACACACAAAATGAACACACTACTAAGTGAAAAAGGTGTACAACAATGTGCTTAAAAACCTGCTAACAGCAGCAGATATCACAATGTTTTGAATGGCTACGTAGTATTCTACTGAATGGATATATTACATGTAATTTACTCTGTCTCCTATTTATGGTCACTGTTTTTGTTTTTTCCTTTTAAACAATGCTGCAATGGGCAACTCTGTACCTATACCTGGTGAACTCTCACAAGTTTATCTGTAGGGTAAATCTTTAGAATGGATGCTGGCTCAAACAGTAATACATTTTTTTTTTAATTTAATTTTTTTATTTGTGGCTGCGTTGGGTCTTCGTTGCTGCACGCGGGCTTTCTCTAGTTGCGGCAAGTGGGGGCTACTCTTTGTTGCAGTGTGCGGGCTTCTCACTGCAGTGGCTTTTCTTGTGTGGAGCATGGGCTCTAGGCACGCAGGCTTCACTAGTTGTGGCACGTGGGCTCAGTAGTTGTGCCCCACAGGCTTAGCTGCTCCACGGCATGTGGGAACTTCCCAGACAGGGCTCGAACCCGTGTCCCCTGCATTGGCAGGATTCTTAACCACTGCACCACCAGGGAAGCCCAGGAATACATTTTAATTTGATAGCTACGGCCAATTGCCTCCAGAAAACTTACTGTGATTTATATTTCCATTAAGTGTATGCCAGTCCCAGTTGCCCTACCATTTCCAGCACCAGGTATTAAACAGTAATTTCTGGGGCTTCCCTGGTGGTACAGTGGTTAAGAATCTGCCTGCAAATGCGGGGGAAATGGGTTCGAGCCCTGGTCCAGGAAGATCCCACATGCCATGGAGCAACTAAGCCGTGCGCGCCACAACTACTGAGCCTGCACTCTGGAGCCCGTGAGCCATAACTGCTGAAGCTCGTGCACCTAGAGACCGTGCTCCACAACAAGAGAAGCCACTGCAGTGAGAGGCCCATGCACCGCAGCGAAGAGTGGCGCCCGCTCGCCACAACTGTAGAAAGCCCAGGCGCAGCAATGAAGACCCAACACAGACATACATACATACAATACATACATACATACGTACATACATACATACATACAATTCAGCATTTTTTATTGACCATTTGAATTTCTTTTAGTACTGTAAAATTTCACATTATCCATTTTTCTGTAGGCACTTTGTTTTTTTCCTTGTTGATTTGGAAAATTTCTTTGTGCACGAAGAAAATCAATCCTAGTTATATTAATCAAGTTATGGCATATACTTTCCCTACTTTGTATCATTTTTGTGATGAAGTTCCCAATATGGATATGAATTCTATTGATCTTGGCTTCTAGGTTTTGTGTCCTTCATTATTCCAAAATTATAAACAAGTAATCCATGCTTCCTTCTACAACTTCTATGGTTTCATTTACCATCTGTACTTTAATTTCTCTGGAATTACAGTATAAGGAATGAAGCAAAGATAAGAGATTGCCTAGAAACTGACTGATGAGCCTTCTTTTCCTCACTGGTTAGCATCATCTAAATACTCACAAGCATCTGCATTTATTTCTGCACTCCACTCTGTTCCACAATAGCCTTGTATTTCTTCTCTAGGTACAACTGATTTTAACCTACTGTAGCATCAGAATAGATTTCATCAACTAGTAGGGCTTTCCCTTTTACTCTTGTCAGAATCATCAGTTTTCCAGGCTCTTACACTTTTCCAGATAAACTTTAATGTATTTTTGTCATATTCCTCCCAAAAATCTTGGTATTTTACAGCAGAAGTGACTTTATAAATTTAAAGTACTGTCACTTTTTCAAAATTGAACCTTAAAAAACAATTGTACCTTACTTTACAAGGATGTGGTATCTTCCTGTTTACTTGTTTCTTTTCACAAACCTTAGCATTTAAAATTTTTTCATATAGACCTTGAAAGGTATTTTACCTTTTCAGTCCCTATTATGAAAGGGTTGTTTTCTTCCAATTAATTTTCTAACTGCTTTTTGTCTGCATATGAAAAAGCTACCAATTCCTGTGTATTAAAGTTAGAAGCAGCCCATAGTCCCCTATTTCTCAGTTTTTTGGTGGATTTGCTTGTTTCTACTATATATCACAAATAATTTTGCCTTCTCCTTTACAGTACGCATCTTTCTTTCTTCTTATTGGATTGGCATATACCTCCTGAACATAATTAAATTATGGTAATAGTAAACATCCTTATACTTTGACATCTGTGACAACTCCACAGGGATTAACTGTGAAGCATGACACTGGCTGTTGGTTTGAGGAGGAAGTTCTTGTCATCTGAGTGTTCATAATCCAAGTCCTAGCAGTTTCAAGTTTACAGAGGGAAACAAGTTATGACACAAAAATATTCACTGATCAATTGGCCCATATAAAATTTGTTCCCTCTCAAGTAATATTCCCTGTTTGCCATCTATCCCTGCCCATCTTTAGGATTGTTCTGCAAACTTGAAGTGGAGCATGTCTTCCCAGTACTATCATATAATTTCATCTGACAAATTACACTATAACTCCCAAAACTTCATTCTGCATTCATTCTAAGAATCAGTATATCTGCAATTATAATTGAAGTCCCTGCCCCCTGTTATTTACTAGGAAATTGTGTTTCCCATTAAAAATTGATTCCATTTTTCTAGTACTAATGGTCAACTGATAATAAGGGTCTCTTAGAATTTCCAAACACAGGAGGGATATACATTGATTCCTGTTTTACTACCATCTCCACCCCTTTCCACTGCCACTAAGTCAGGAATCTATCTTGAACTTTGGTCAGATGCTTTTAGGAAGCTACTAAGAAGATCATATGGATACTGGAAACAGAGCCAGTGTAACATTTAACAGATACAGTTAATTGCCTGGGTTCAAATTCTGGCTCCACTACAAATCTATTGTGTGACCTTCAGCAAGTTACTCAATGTCTCTGTGGCTTAGTTTCCTCGTTTATAAAATAAGAATGTTACCTACCTCATAGGCCGGCCAATTAACTGAATTAATACATGTGAAGCCCCCAGGAAAGTAGTCTACAGCACAGCAGGTGGCTCAACAAGGATAAACTATTATTATTGTTCTTTTCTGATGTATTTATTTGGTGTATACGTTAGTGTATTTCTCGCCCTTGCAATATGGAGGTGAATCCTACTTGGCCACAGTGAAATATTCCTTTAATGTATCACTAAATACAGTTTGCTAACATTTTATTTTAAAATTTCACATCACTATTCATAACATACCAAGTTTCCAATTTCAGTACTATCTTCATGTCAAGTTCAGGTGTCAATGTTCCACTGGCTTTGTAAAAGAAATCTGTCATTTTTCCTTCTTTAAGCTGGTGAACAATTTAAATCTTATAATTATCTTTTTCTTGAAAGTTAAAAGAATTCACCTGAAACACCATCTGGGACTGGTGTTTTGGGGGATGGTAGCTTTTTGATAACTTCCTCAATTTCTTCCATTGTTAGGTCTGTTAGGTTCTCTCTTCTGGAGTCAACTCTGATAACTGGATTTCCTTTAAAAAAAAAAAAAAAGTCTGGTTTATTTATATAGTCTTATAAAGCACTTGCTGTTTAAAAAAAACACTTCTAATCTTGTGTGCCTATATTCCCTTTTTTCTTGAGCAGGGTAGTCAGTTTACCTAATTCACATTCCTATCATCCCAGCAAAGAACCAGTTCTTTTTTTTTTTTTGGGTACACAGGCCTCTCACTGTTGTGGCCTCTCCCGTTGCGGAGCACAGGCTCCGGACGCGCAGGCTCAGCAGCCATGGCTCATGGGCCCAGCCGCTCCGCGGCATGTGGGATCCTCCCGGGCCAGGGCATGAACCCGCCGCGTCCCCTGCATCTGCAGGCAGACCCTCAACCACTGCGCCACCAGGGAAGCCCAGAACCAGTTGTTAAATTTACCAATTTTACTATTTTTCAGTTTTTAAATTTGTTTTTCCTCTTTATCATCTCATTTCTCCTGCTTTGTCTGGGTTTATTTTCTTCTAATTTATTGAAGGGAAATTTCTTATTTTTATTTATTCTTTGTTTCATAATTTGAGTGTTTAAGGGTATATATTTTGCTTTAAGCAAAACCTTAACTATTACTTTTTAATACATTCCATGGAGCGTTTTGGTCTAATTGGCAGTCACCTTACCATCTGTACCATCTTGTGTTTCTTCACCACAGTGGCTTTGACCTGGAGTGATATGCACCCTTTCCAGAGTCCAAGCCTGTTTAGGCTCCGGACATCGCAGCACATCCTTAATTTATGCTCAGGAGAAGAGCATCTTTCTCGTGGCCCACAGGAAAGATCCTGCAGGGATGGACCCTGATACCTGGCAACTAGCCTCCAGTCTTAAAAGGTCTGATGACAAATACACCTTGAGGTTGACCTTCATCAGTGGCAGAACAAAGCAGCAGCAGGCAGCCAAGTTCACCAAGTCCATTGCTAAGTTTTTTGACCACAGTAGGACACTGGTCATGGATGCATACGAGCCTGAAGTATCCAGGCTCCGTAACAGTCTCACCCCAGAAAGAAAAATAAAATCACCACTTCTAAAAGCAGCCATCTTTCTGCTGGATCATGCTGAAATACAGGGTGAGGGGGAAAGAAACTGAGATCTTAAAATGAAGAAAGAAAGAAATGTTAAAAATGTCCCTGTTCTGTTCTGAACTTTTAGTCCATCCAGGAAAAATGGTATCTTCCAGCACAGATATGAGAAGCTGTAGCTCTGATATCTAGGTGGGACCTCCCTAACCTGCTGATCCCATTGTTCTGACGTGCTTTTCTAGAAAAGCATTTTTCCTAAAAGCTGTATAGACTTCCTCAACACCTGAAGCACTTCATGTAGTATTAGCATTGTGCCAAGGAGCATGTGAAGACTCAATTTTTAAACTTGTTAACCTGTTGCTGACTAATTGAGCTAAGTCCCTTTCAACAGCTGTTTCCCTTAATTCAGATACAACTCCTTATGTATGATAGCTGTCCTTCACACACAGCTTTTGTGGGTATGCATAAATCTGACTTAGGGAGAATTGAAAAAACAAACCAAAAAAACCCCACAGCTTTTTAATTTGTTTAAAACAGACATTCTGTCTGTTACATTTTGTGCTGTTAACCAGTGAAAGGAATCAATGGCATTTTAAGAAAAATTGTTCTATAAATGCTTGAGAAGTTTGCCAGGGTACAAAGTTTGATAATTATTAATCAGTCTTCTACATTCTTACTTCTTATCATTTTAGCTGCCAGACAGGAGTTTAAACTCTTATCAGTACTATACTTGCCAATCTAAGATTAACCAACATTTAAAAACAATTTAGCATAGAAATACTTTATGTAATGCTTTGCTCTTCTTCAGTTTCAGGACTAAATGTTAAAATCAACAGAAATATCCAGATTTATGTGTTATTATACCATAACACGTTGTGACAATTTATGAATGTAAAAGTTTCATTTTTACATACTAAACACATAACAATATACTTTAAATTATAAAGTCACTACCTACCAGCTGTTTAACAATATATGTTCCTTGATAATACAAACCAAGTTACTTATACACTTGAACAACAAAATTTTGTCCATGTTCACTTTTAATTTTTACTAAAATGGCACTTGCATTACTTTCCAAAATTTTGCAAATTAAAGTTACTTCAACTAGTTTTGTCATGACTCTTTGGGTCTGTTATTAAACAGATAGAAAACTGTGGCTAACAGAAGTTAGCCAGTCATTTATTGACCGCTGTACTGAACTATTCTAAGAAATTTAAAGAACATTAGTGTACATTTAGGGTCTCAGATTTTTAAAAACAGGCCTGGACATAGGAAAAAGGAATGTAATGAAACCTTTCCAGACTTCACAGATTTAAAGCTTTCTCCCTCATTTTGCCCTACACACCAGGATCGTGTGAATAGGTTCTTAATTTGGCAAAAGAACAAAGGCTAGTGTGCACAGTATTCTGTAGCAGTGGACTTTAAAATTTTTCATGTTTATTCTGTGAACACGACTAAATTTCTTTGCTAAACTTTTCTCTATATTTAAATTCTTTAACATGGATAATAATTCTTTGCAATTTATTGCAAAATTTATCTACCATAACTTTACATTTGTTTGCTACCTAAAACACTCAACCTATGTCAACATTAGGAAGCAAAGTTAATTAAGCTGACTTTCAAGCAACTCCAAGAGTCAAACTTCTGTGGCATAAGAAAACAGTGTAAAGTCTAAATGCTCACTGTAATTTATAGCCCACGTGGTTAAGACCGAGATGTGATCCATCACAAAGGTCTCTGCGCAAAAACTGAGGAGAAAGCAATTGTATTTCTCAAAGGATGTTAACTCCCACAAGTCAGCAGGTCTGAGTCAGCATTCAGGACAAGATTAAACTGGGTTCTAGTCCTAGATAGGACACTATCTTGCTACTATAAATACAAAGCAAAGTCTACAATTTAAAAATCCATTTCTCTGGGCTTACTTTAATCTACCAAAGGAGAGACCAGACAAGTCCACTCCTCTTAAAGGTAACAGCTTGTGATCTTTCCCCGAGATGCACTCAAGGTGACTCCAGATCCAAAGCGCCAGACCTGTGCTCTGGAACCACTAGCGGACCTGACCGATCCTAGCACCTTTTGATTTTATGGAATCCTTCCGAAACAAGGTCAGAGGAAGCTCAGACTAGCAAGGGCACTACACAGTTATTTAAGGTTTTCTGTTTCACAGCTTGCAGGTAGAGAAACAGAAGGTGGGGATTAAGACCAGACGTGTACAGCTCTAAGGAGCAAAAAAAAAAAAAAAAAAGGGTAAATATAGCTGAGGCATTGACACGCTCCACCTAGATAAGCTTAACACTAAATAACTGGTACAGAGATTTTCAATTAACAACAATGCCCCCCGCATCTCCAAAAAAAGCACTGTACCACCGAGTTTCCCACAACGCGAAGCAACATGGTGTCGCAGAATAACCATTGTCTGGCTGTGTGGCTGAACTTACCGCTCTCCAGGCGTCCATTTCCCCTGTCTGTAGTGAGGGGGAGGGGAGGGTGGCGGACGGGGTCGACCAGGCCCCTTCCGTCCCGGACATTCAACGGAGCCAGGGGTCCCGGTATCCCAGACCCCGAGGGGGCAGGCGCCCTTCCGCGGTCCCAACGCTGCTCTCCCGGGCTGCAGGCAAAGCCCGGCCCCTCCCCGCCCCGCTCTCGATGCGCGCTGGGAGGCACCTTCCTTCCCGGGGCGCGCCCAAATGAACGCACTGCCTCCTCCGCCGGAAAGGCTCGTTCCGGCAGTCGGACGGCGCTCACGGCCCAGCGAAGCCCGGCAGCGGGCGGCAGAGCTGGGAGGCAAGAGCTGGGCCCTGCGGCTGCAGGTCCCACCCGGGATGGCGCGCGCGGGAACGGCGGGGTGTACTGCGGGGGGCGCACTGCGAGCGCGCGCGCGCCCGCGGAGGCGGGGGGGTGAGTCCTCAACGGCCGCGCCAGAGGGCCGTGCAGGCGGCCTCCTCAGACCCTCCTTCGTGCTTCCACTCACTCCACGCGCAGGCCGGGGGAGCCCCGTGCTTTCCTCTCGGCCGCTTCCTGTACTCACCCATCGCCGCGGGCGCCAGGCTCCACGCCCGGTAGCGGCCCGCCTGCAGGCTGGCGAGCTCGCGAGCCCGCGAGCCACCGAGCCGGCGCAGGCGCAGACCTTGACCGACCCGAGCTCAGGGCGGAGCGTGACGCGCTCTATGCCGCCGAGCCCGGTCACGTGAGGGAGACGCCACCGCGCCGCCTCTCTCTAAACCCGCGGAGGGTCGAGTGACGCCGGCCAACTCCTGGCAGCGGTTCGGCGCGGCAGGGCAGGTGTAGGGTCACCCATCACACCTGTTGTCAGGCTTTCGGGTTCCACTTGCTGGAATGCCGTACCTTTGGTGCCGTACGGTGGCCTTGCCGTGCCACAAACAGCCAACGCGTTCTCTAGTGCGTAGCCTGCGGGAGGACCACTGGGAAGTGATAGTGTGGGTGGCAAGCCTTGAAAGGCCCCGCCTCGCTTCCCTTTGTATCCTTGGTTAGATTTCATCAAGCCCTCGGAGTGACCTTGTGTCAGCTACTGATCCTGCAGTTCACAGAACACCTGTGTGTGCTTTAGAATATACAAATCATTAAAAAACCCTGTTTCTTTTCAGTCTCAGACAACTTGCACGTCTTGGACTTCACTGCACCCGGAGTTAGGAGGCCTAGGTCAAGTCATAGCCCTGACCCTTGCTGGGAGTGACCTCGGACAAGTCACTGTCCCCTGAGCCGCAGATCTCTGACAAGTAACGCCGGCCTTGCATGCATCCTTTGGCCCTTGTAAGAATCACTGAGAATAATGATCTGACTCTAACTTATAAACTGGAAGGCACACAGATGTGAGGTGTTGAAGGAAACGGAAAGGTCAGCCTGGAGAGCAACAGCGAGGCTCCTCAGGAGGCTCATCAAATATGTGAAGTGTATGCGCTTTACTTGGGATTAGTCCAATAAGCAACTCCACTGGAGTGAAATACGGTATGGCTATAGGTGGGTGGCTCTCCCGGCCCACTTCCCCTGAGAGCACTTTGTAGATATTGACTCCAAAATTTTGTCTCATCTGCTTGAGCTGGCCTGATTAACTGCTTCTTGGGGTGTGAGACATCATGCTACCTAATTTCAGCAAATGTTCTGCTGAGGTACCTACTGTGTGCCATTGTGTTCTCTTCGGGGAACTTAGAGTCCAATGAAGGATATAAAAACAAAAACTCTGGAAATTCAGATGCATGAGGGGCCTTTCCCCTTAAGAGGGAACTAGGGATGGCTTCATAGAGGAAGAGGTGTTTGAACTGTGCCTTGGAAGATGAATGAGTGGAACTTGGACTAGCAGAGAAAGTCATAGCAGCAGGAGATAAGATTGTAAAAGTCAGGTGGTGGGGACTGATAGTGCAAATCTTGACTGTCAGATGCAGGCACCTGGCATCTAATTAGTGTGCAGAGATAGATTTGGGGCTCCACAGGATAATGACAAGGCCACGCAGTAGCTTGGAGTGTTTAAAATTGGGCAACAGTTGGGGAAAGGCATTTATGTCAGAATTATGTTTGCCCTGTCTTGTGTGAACTCCTATTCAGATGTATTATTTGAAAAATAAATAAATCAGGCAGGCATCCAGCATGTTCATAAGCATAAATAATTCATTTCAGATTAGAATAGAGAGGTTATTCTCCTGTGGTAAAACCCGAAGAGGAGGAAAGATTGAAATTAAACACACAATTGGGGCACAACAGACTTGAAAGAGTAGGGGAATCCCAGGTTGACAGGCATACGCATGTCTGGAGCTGAGCCAGTCCGTTTCTTTTATGCTGCAGGTCACAGCGCTGGCCTCTGCTCCTCCAGCTCTTAGTTCCTCATCAGAAACCTCCCAGGTCCTTAATTGGCTCTTCTTGGGCATATGAATGTTGGAGATCAAAAACCTCTATTTTCTGATTCACGATTCATCATAAAGTTATCCTTTCATTTTTCTGTCCTCATCCACCCATTGTTTTATTCATTCTTCAGTCTCTTAAACTGTTTTCCATACCTCCAGCCTCCATATCAGCTGTCGGATAACATCCTCTAACTCAGTTTTGATCATCTCAGTCCTCAGCTTAAAAACTTCCACGTGTTCCCTCTTGCCTCTTCAACAAATCCAAACTCCTTAACTTGGCTCGCGGGCTCTCGATGTCCTGGCCCCTCTACCTAATCTGTTCACCTCGTCTCCAGCTACATTCTGTGCTTCATCCATGCACAGTCTCTCAATGTTTTGCAAATCCTTGTTCCTTAGACCTTCCCCCCCTTTCACCACTGACTGTCAGCAATCAAACATGTTACGCCTTCAAGGTCCTTTGCCTTCTCCCCTGAAAAGCATTCTCTGATTAACCTGGGCTAACTTGGTTGCTCTTGCCTTTGCCTTCCCATAGCACAAAGTTTGGGGCACCTCTAATATCTGCTTATGTTATAATCATTTGTGAAGATGTCTCCCTTTCCTACTAGGGCAGAGCTATCTGAGTTGGTTCTGACCCTCCAGCTCAGGGCTTGGCAAAAAGGGTGTTTGCCCCAATAAAATGCTGGTGGAGAGGGTCTGGGTTCTTAGGAAAAGGGCCATGGGAATGTTGCTGCTGGATCTTTGCTTAAGCACCCTCTACTCCCCCTCCCCCTCCCACCAAAATGCTTTCTAGAAACTTGTCTCGTGCACTCAGGCTCCGTGGGCCCTTATGTCCACAAAAACAGCTTTACGCAAGCTGTCATCGGTGGAGCCTTGGCTACTGTGAGTGGCTCTGCCCAGATAAGGTCACCAGCAGTCTTTCCCTAGCAAGGGGTCAGTGACCTTCCTTTCCCTTTTCAGCCACTCCCCTTCACACCCCCAGGCTCCAGCCACAGGCCAGCCACTGCTGGTTCACGTCCCTGCGTTCTTTTACAATGTCCTCTGTGCCTCAAAGGCTCTGCCTGCTTCATGGCAAAGTCCTGTTCACCCTTCATTGCTCAGCTTACACAGAGGCTTCTTGCTGCTTTTCCTGACCTAACTACCTGACACAGAGCTGCCCCACAGTGCTATCCTTTGTGACTCGTATGCACTTTACAGATTGAAAAGCTAGATTCTAGCAGACCTACTATGAAGTCAGAATTTCCGGGGGAGAGGCCAGTTGGCCTCTCTAGCTCCAACACAAGCCTCAGGCAGTTCTTCTCAAACTCTTTGGGAAGCAACAGTTCTAAACTGATACCCTGACCCATAATAGTAACCTAAAGTTTGAAACCCAGGGAGCTGCAGGGCTCAGGAATGTGTACGTGAATAAGCCTGCAGCCCAGAGAGGAAACTGGGGTCTAGTCCTAAGGAGAAATGATCAGGGCTTGAAACAGACATATACCAAGTGCTGTGAGTGCGCAGAGAAGAGCGAAAATGCACTAGCTGCAATCAGGGAAGGCTACCTGGAAGAGGTGACCCATAAAGCATGACTAGGACTTAAAACAAGGTGGGCTCCAGAAGAAGCATGGGATGGGAGGATTGTATAAGGAAGGAGACACCAGGTTTCTCATTCTCCCTGACCTCATTCCTGTTCCCCAACTTCGCCTTTGTCCCAGGCACACCTACGGGCAGAGCCTATGCCCCCTGGTAGCTCTCAGGGCTCAGAACAATTGCTGACCTCTGGGTGGGATCCTGGGACACTTTACTTGGTATCTAAGTGACACATACTTGTGAAATACAAACACATTTTTATCTAGCAAGGGCTGAGTCAATAAAACAACATCAAACATTTGCACAATAGTCTTTGGGTCTTCCAAGCAGTTACTTGATAGTTATTCCCTCTGGTTTACACATCATTTGTGTGCTCAGGGAAGTCCTGTGACCTGCTTGAGCTGAGTATGTATCAAGAGGTGAGGCTGGGACTGCACCGCCTCCACCATTTTTGAGAACAGAAGCACTGCTGAGAACTGGTGCCTGGCCCTTGGGGAAGGATCTGTGGATGGTGAGCTGCAGGGCAGTGGGGAGACTGGCCCTTTACACAGGACTCTCTAATCATAAGGCACCTGAGGAGCTTGCTACCAACACAGGTTCCTGGTGCCCACCCAAGACCTACTGACTCAAAATCTCCCAGAAGGGCTTAGGAATTTGTAATTTACAAGAGGCCCACGTGAACTATATGACGAGGCAAAGGTAGGATGCACTGAACTAGACGTGGCATGTCGCAAGGTCAGCAGACCTGGGTTTGAATCCTAGAACCACCACTTCCTGGTTTTGTACCTGGGGCAAAGCTCTCCCCCTCTCAGAGCCTCAATATCCCCACTTCAGAATGAGGATCCTTCCCGAACCCACCTTCTGTCTCCCTGAGGGAGGCTTTCCCGATGGCAGACCCAGCACGACGGATGCTCATTCTCCTTCACATGGGGGGCGTGGAGGGGGCAATGGAGGCTCAGGGAATATGTCACCCAAACCTCTAAATGTCACTCTTCTCTTTTGTTCTGGGAAGAAGGGACTCTGTAGTTCCCTCTCGATCCTGCTAACCTTTGGGCTGTGACTGTCCTCTGGGGTGTGAGGTACAGAGCAGGAACGCAGGGCCCCCACCACTAAACTGAACTAATGCTTTTCCCAGCAACCACCTCACCTTCTAAGCCTCAGTTTCTCACCTGCTCTCATGGTGGGGGACCGGTGTGTGCACAATGTGTAGGGCACACACAGTAAGCCCGCTGTAAGTGGGAACTGTTACCTTTGTTAAATCATTTAACAAATACTTGTTGAGCACTCGCTATGTGCCAGGAGCTCTCCTAGACCCCTGCTTGTATGGAGTCTACATTCTAGTGGATGGAGACAGACAAATAATGAACATGATATGTGTTTAATATTTAAACAGTAAAGACACTGCATGGATTTGATGCTTAAACAATAAAGACAATAAATAGGTTTAATATTGAAATAAACAGATGTAACAATTATTTAAATAGTAAACACAACACCTGCTTATTATTTAAATAGTCTAGTATGTTAGCATTAATTTAAATAAA